GCGCGTGCATTCAAACTGCACTTGTGGTCAAGACAAAAAAGGCGACTTAAATGGATAACTGAAGATGGACTGTCAGTACAATCGGAAAAATAGCATGAAACAATTTGAACAATATGTTCCAGGAGATGCCGGCTTCCCTGCGTGAAATATGTACAATTCGACGCTTACAAGATGGATAAATAAACTAAACATCACAAAAGTATCCACGTACCTCATCCACGTATCACAAACGACCTGCCTGTGGCTACCCACATCACCCCTTCCGATAAGGGAAGCTTCGAGGGAATTCGACGTTTGTGTTTCCGGAAATCGCGGTTGAAAATAACTATAGTCCTGGACATGTGTGCATGTTCAAGACTTATCATTCGGAACTTTAAATTGCTTTCTTATTGGTTGATAATATTTTATGCTGTATATGACTGCCAGCAAAATCAGTTATATTCTATGAAGAAGCGAGCTAATAGGGAAAGTCTAAAAGAAGTCGCACGACGTCGCCCGGATTAGAACCGCCAACTAGCAGGTCTCTGCCTCCAAGCTTATCCAATTTGGCCGTCAAGGAACGAACGGCCAACTGTGCAAACTTCTGCCAAGAAGCTAAGCCTCGTACGGAATAGTAGTATGTGATTGTATGGATCACATGAATCGGACCAGCCAATCATTTGCCTCGGTTTAGCTCGTGCATGAAACGGCTTCCACACAATGAATTCCAGTCAGCCTATTTTACCATTCCGGGATGTTCTTCAGCTGGGCGATAACCTCTACAGAATGGCGTATAAATTTCATCCCGGTGGGTACTTGAATGACATTTGTTTTGGCCAATACCCGTTAGACGACAAATTGAATGTGTTTGTTCACCGAAATTTGGGATGACGCACTGGTTTAGGGAACACACCTTGCGCTCACTATGATAACAGATGATATCTTGGCGTACCATGCGGTGTCGACAGGATTATACACCTGCGTGAATGATCTTCATTCTTTGGTACGCGTTGCTGGCTGCAGCGTTTCCAGATATCTTTATGAGCATTTTCAAATCCCAGTAAGGAGCTTTCCTACTGGAAACCGTGCCTTCACTAAGCTGAAATACATCATGAACAGTTGGTTCAAAAGCCTTTCGCTGTTCTACGACAAGCTTTCTCCCGCATAACTCGCATGGGCTTCCAGACACTGTATGAGGCTCCAGACAGAGCACCCCTTGAATATGTCAACCAGGTTGTCTACTCAGGACACAGAGAAGACTTAACGCTCGTTGAGCGCGTTTACCGGTCTGCTACAGAAAGGGTTGCTGGCCTCAAATACGTTGATTATGAAACGCGTGCGCATTTGGTTGGCACATTTTCCCTGGAGTATCGGTGCCTTCGAGCAGACTCAATACTTACTTACGCCCTGTTTGAACAATCTTGGTAAACAAGTTTTACTTAGTTGAACTAACTAACATATTGCGAGGTCATGGTAAGAAGACTTTGAAGCTCAGCGGGCACACCTTTAATAGGCAACAGGTATTTTCATTTCGGGTAGTTGGTGTGTGGAATACCCTTCTTCCGACGGTTGTTCACGCTGCATCTAGTGCCTGGTTCAAGGCACCTTTAGACGTCCTTTCGGTTGAGTCAGTTGAGCGATGCTACACCCTTTATTCACGACGACAAAACAAACCAAACCTGGGAAGTTTGGGCGAAAGCTTCGATCCCGTGCACCAATCCGTGAATCCGTGATTGGCTGTGGGTCCCATGCCTTCGGCCAACCAGAGCTCGGCTTGGTGCCGTTAGGCGACCCACAACCTAACCATTCCCAGTTGTCAGCCAGGCTGAGTCCTGTACTTAGTGCTTCCATACACCGTTGCGAAGTCTAAGAATAACTACTCGTTCGGCTGGTGCCTTACTCCAAGCCTCCCGAAAGAAGCACGAGGACTGGACTACTGTCATTCGAGGTGCAGAGGTTGAGCTCGAACTTCAGAACAGGCCATGGTCTTGCCACCTCTCAGCCACTTCCACTTAGCGCAGAGCCAGGTAAAGAAGCTGTGTGAGGCAGACGGTCTTGTGTTGCGCAAACTAATGTCAACCAGCCTGGACCATGAAAAGTGAGCAGTCCATCCTTCATAGGAGGAAGCGAAACTCAGTTTCTCCTAAGACCATGCTGTATAACCATCTAGGTTGCTTAAAGTGGCTTACATTTTTGATAGGCCTGAATGAAAGAGAACAATGTCGTACGCGTCCTCACTGACTCTGAAAGAACTCTCCGAGAACATTTCGATCCCAGAGGCTCGAGAGGCAGACAGAAGTTTCATTAGGCACGCCAGTAAACGACTTTAAAAATCTTCAACCTTCCTCGAGGAAGGTTGTGAAAGGGTCGCCTTGTGTTACATTAATAGACGTAGCAAAGCGCCCACGGGAGTTCACGCACAATATTTTAATAAGGGATGTAAATTTTCAAGAGGCCACTGATGAAGTACGTCCCCGAAATCATTGACGCCTGAGAGGGCCCAAAAAAGCTCTTAGGTCAAGAAATCAATCGACGCAAGACCTGAGAGAGAGAGTATTCCTGTTGCAGAATCTATCTCAAGGTAAAGATCTGGTTGATGAATCTTTGACCGAGGTGAACTCCAGCTTGATTCTATGAATTTGTCTCTCCCGATGATCGGCCAATGTACGTCAATTATTACCAGGAGACACTTATCATCATCATCGTCATCCTCGTCGTCCTATGTAAGATTCGCATACTTGTACGGTGGTTGTATCTGCCACAGTTTCGTCCGCCGATGATTTGGAGAGGTGGAGCACTTCGATCCCACAAGCTGATAGTGAGTCTTCCATAATTGCATACAGCGTACAGCGTAATGCGTACAGCGCCTTAAGGAAAGCCAAGAATTTATTGGGGATACCTTAGCTCCATAGACACTGTCGCGGTGCTTAACTGCCCACAAAGTCAAAAGAGGCTTTTAGATCAAGTAACACAACCATTGTTGGTTGCTGGAAGTAGTGTCGCTCTTCCAGAATCTGTCGGAGGGTGAAGATGTGATCCTCTTGCAAAGCGGAACCCGTCTTGGTTTCCGCGGATCTGTTCCTCCGTGTTCGGCCAACCGTCGAAGGATGAGACCATAGGAGACCTTCGGTGCTGCAGCTACCAGGCCGATGTCACAGTGGTTTTTACACAGCATTCGCGTACCGCTTTGAAGATAGGATTAACTGTCGACATGCCTCATTCGGCATGCACGTTCTCTTTAATCCATGTAGCACCGATGTGTTACCAGGGGTTCTGTGCCTTGAAAGGGACTGAATACAGACCGTCCGGTCCCGGTGCCTTCTCATGTTTCTGATAGGATATTTCGTACTTTACCTCTTGAACGCCGCTAACATAAATTTCACATTTTGCTGCGCTTCATCCTAATGCTCGCCACTAGTACAGTATTGGTTTACCATAGAGAGTTGTTTGGCTAGTTCAGATCAATACTGTTAAGCTATGGTAGCTTTTCGAAGATGGAGGATCGGCGTGCTTCTTGCTGACTTGCGAGAGCCTGAAGGAAAACGAACTGTCAGACGTACATGTGCTATGGCGTAATCGGAATCAAGTCGTGTGCTCCAGAGGGAACGGCAGTCTTGAATTATGGCGCTCTACCGGTGGCCGATGGCCACGTGATCCAGCTGGGTTCACGGTTGATTTGCAGTGGTTGGCCGCCGGGTTATTCGATGCGAGCGTTTATGTTGAAAGTTCATACTGGCCACAAACAGTTGATGATGAACACACAATTGGAAGGGTCGCTCCCGTTGTTTGTGTGACGAGCATCGGCTCCGAATCGACCGCCCGAATGTGATTCCAAGGAGCTCATACGACCGACTTGGGCGTTCATATCGCCCGCAAGTATCACAATGCCAGTGCTTCTTGTGTGACGAATGAACTCGGATAACTGATGATAGGAAGTATCCTCCTCATCAGAACTGCAGTCCTTTGGGACATAAGTGGACACTACAAACAGGCACCACTTTCTGTGCCGAGAGGCGTTCATCTCGATTGAGCTGGATAACCAGACGGAGCAAAGACGACTGTTCACTGGGATTCACTCTAAAAAAACGTGTTCAGCTGTGAGACTGAGTGTGACTTCCACACCATATATCCCACGAGTAATCGCCTCTGGATCACCGGACACATGGAGGGAGAAATGTGAAAGACATGGGTCCGTCCTTGACGTTCTGAGATTCACAACCGGAGACACACTATACATCAATTTCAAAGGAGTATAATGTTTCAGCAAGAATTGCCTGTTTACCAATTTGACATAGAGTACGGAGGTTAAAAGCTCCTATATATAGGGAGGATCTCATGGATTTTGAAAGGGGTTATTTTGTTTATTGCTGTGTGCTTCTCCCTGGCTTAGTCGTCCAACTTTGGTCCTCATATCACCTGCCAGGATAACTATACCTGTTCTTGCCGACCGAATGAATCGTGACAAATCATCATAATCATTGTCAGCTGTGAGAACCGCGTACTTGTACAGTTGTAGCTGCCATAGTTCACCGATTTGGGGAGGTGGGGTAGGTAGCTGCGCATTGGAGGTGGGAGCTGATAAATTTGCACGTAAATACTGCACTGTCAGTGGACTGTCAAGTGAGGGATTGAGAGGGGAGCTAGAGGCGGTCAAATAATGACTTGGCAGCGAAGTATAAAAGCCATTATCAGCAGACTCAGCTGCGCTGGTCATTGCTGTCCTCCTGGATGGGGACCCTGAGACGGGCCACATCTATGGCTAGAAACATTGTCAGACATGGCCCAATTGAGCCATGAATGGCGCTCATACATCCAAGCTATTGCCTTCAATCGTGACTAATCTCGTCGTCAGATTCAGTGCTGCAATCTGTCGGTACAGATTCGGATATGAGGAAGAAACATTTACCGCATTGACCAGCATTCATTTTAATTGAGCCTGAAAACCGTACATCGACAACTAATTTACCGGAATCCGGCTAGGTTAAGCTCCTTCAGCCCTTCTGTTGAATGCAACTTCCACAATGTTGGTACTACGAGCCATTGTGCCAGAATCACCAGATACGAAGAGTGAGAGTGGTGACATCAACAGGATTGCCATACTTGTTGCATACTACAGGTAGGCGGAAGCACGTTGCTTCTGATGTTCCCTTTTGACTTTTACTTGTTTCTTCTGCTCTCTCTCTCTCTGCAGGCCTCATTACTAAGGGTGGCCGCGTTTTTCGTCTCGCATCATCCTTGGCGGCAACTACTGCCCGTTGGTCTTCGGCACTAGAATTGAACTCTCCGAACTCGGGTTTCAAACACTGAAAGCCGGTCTGCTTAGCTGCTTTCAGTGTCTCCACTCTGAAGCAAGCGGGATTGCCCCTGCAGTGATATGCATTATCTGTGATGAACAAGCATCCAGGACAAAGTACCGTAATTGAACTGCGTGTACCCTTGAGCTTTTCGAGCTTCTGACTGCGCACCTCTGGTGACGCGAAAGTCTCTGCACCTGGATGTGTGAGGTGGGTATTGTGTCGAGCCATCGCACGGATGTACTCCTAGGTGATTTAATAACCGCTGACAGTCGCCTCTGCGCAGTTTGTTTGGCGTCGTCGGTGAAAGAACTTGGAAAGAGGGAAGTCCGTCGCTCCCTTTTTATTGACGCTCCTAGACATACAGTTACTGAACACTGCTTTCAAGGGGAGGTACTCGAATTTTTGGAGCGTTTTACGGATCTTGGAATTTGTATTAGTTCTGATTTTAGTTTGAAAGATGAGGTTAATGCACGAATCTGTAAGGCTCGAGTCGCGTTTGCTAATTTGAGATACATATGGTGTCAGAGTGGTGTATCAAGCTACAGTGCGGGCTGTTTTGTTGTATTGCTGTGAGAAGTGGCCTTTTCGGGGATCGCGACTGAGACGTCTTCAAGCGTTCGACAGTCGTTGTATCAGAACCACAGCTCTTGTAGGTTGGTGTTGGCATATCCGTAACGAGTACTTCCATTGAAGAATGTGTCCAGCACCAGAAGCTATGTTGGTTGTGGCATGTGTTGCGTATGCCTAACCATCGCTTCCCGAAGAGGGTGCTGTTTTCCATGCCAATTCAGAGGCAGAAACAGAGGTGGCCAACCTTTGGCCTGGCAGAGGGATATGAAGGAGATTAAGAAACGCTTGGGTGCTGTCGGTGCTACTCGCCTTCCAGGATGGGAAGCTCGTTATCCTCAATGCGGCTGGTTGGAAACGCTGCAAGATATGACTGCTAATCGATGTCATTGGCGATCTTGTTGTCAGTTTCTATCCAGATGATTATAGTAAGCTAGCGCTAGGATCCACCTTTATTATTTTCATCATAAAAAGGCTTTCAAATGAACCATGTTTGTACGGCAGCGAAGCATGGGTGCTGAACACTGATGTCATGCTGTCGATGATGATGATGATGATGATGATGATGATGATGATGATGGTGTCGGTCGGGCTACGTGGACAACAGAGGGCAGGCGCTACGGATGTGTACTAACCACAGCGGAAGTCGTTTGATCGCGAATGCCCACCAACGAGCTTGCTACTACTTTAAACAGCCTCATTTCCATAGAGAGGTGGGACCCCCTTCAGCTTGAGAATTGTCCGGATGTGTATCTCAACGTACGCGTCATTGTGATCCTGACGACCTTCATTCCGCTCTGTTCAAGAATGGCGGTGAATTCTTCAGTTAGTGCCTGTCTAGTCTTTTTGCGCCTGTCTGTGGGGAGGAAACCATCTCAGACAGCGGGGTGAGCCGACACCAATGCCCGTAGTCAAAAGGGGAATCCGCAGTGCATGTACTACCACCTAAGTTTGACTCCCGTCAGAACAAGGCTTCTGGCCTCATTGGTTCTTCGTCGTATTACAGCGGTGCGTTAAACCTAAACGCCCGAGCATCAAGAGGTATTTCAACAGAGTAAAGGCTGAGTTGGCCACATCTTCACACTCCGTCAGATGTTAGAGCAACACACGTGTACACGATATCCACAATCTTGGTGTTCCTTGACTTAAAGGGTGCGCTTGATTCTGTTGATTGGTCAGCGCCTTTAACCACACTTGCTCAACTGGGTGTGCTGCAGAAAAAAAATCGTTCACCTGTAACACCATTCCGGTGCCTAGCTGCCATGCCATCCGAGGGAAGCATAAGGGCTGGGATACTGCCAGGTTGCCCGAGCCTAGACAGGGGAAGTCCAGAGTAGAGATCGGGTTCGAACCACGGACCTCCCTGTCAGTGAATTCACTCCCTAACCACTTGAGGCATCTCGCCCGTGTGCCCCAAAAACTGAACACAATCCGGTCTCTATACTCGTATACTTTCCTGTGCCCGTGAATGAGCTCTCTAGAAGCTTCCTATAAAATGTTTTTTTTCTGGCAAGGATTTCCACTCTCCGTTTTCGTTCGTATTTTTCATCGATGAAATAGTGAAGCAAACTCTGGAACCTCGGTGTTCCCACTGCGGGTAACGAGAACCTTGTCAATCTGAAGTGCTCAGACGGCGTGCACCTTAAGCCTTCGAAGCACAGAATCATGCTTCAGAAAGTTCAGTCTCCGAACATACCCCTTGCATTTCAAGGTGATTATGAAGAATTTCAAATACCTTGGTATTTGTACTATTTCTAAAGGAATTGTTTCTGATGAGTTCAATATGCGAACCTCAAGAAGTCGAATCACGTCTGCTGGATCTCGCGGGTCTTGTAAACCGGGCTACAGGAAGGGTGTATTGTTTTATGGTTACGACACATGATCTCTGCGAACGGATATTGTGGAACAACTTTGGGTTTTCGTTCACGTATGTTTCAGAATTGTCACTGGCATAGTCTACTGTCCACGAGCTCATAACTAGGTATTCAGAAAACGATTTTTTGTTTTTGCAGCGAATACTTTAGTTTTGCAGTGGAACCAGCATCACGGTTGTGTTGGCTAGGCTCTGTGCTACGCACGCCGAAACATCGGCTACCGAGACGAGGGAAGCATTGGTGCCGCATAATATTGCTGTTTCTGATGGTGATGATGTGTTTGTATAATATCGCCACGTTGCGGCGTAGGTGTTGATCTCTGCAGTTGCATTTCGTCGGCCAGATGACTGGCGGTAATAGAAGGATGCGTTGCAACGATATCTGCGACACATCACTGTAAACTTCAATGTATTCTGATCAGTCGACAACTGGTTAGTCCGAGTAGTGCCGGATCCACTGAATCGGAGATCATTATGTCCGGTCCACAACAGGGTCTCATGGCACATTCGGTCGAAATAGATGACGTTGGCACTCACCAAAGATATACTTTCCATATTAAAACCGCATACCTACAATACACTTGATTCCATGTTTTAAAGTTTTAGCTTATTCTTGAATTACGTGACAGTGGATTCCGTCCGTTCTCTGAATACTTGGCAATGTCGTATATCAAACCACCTGTTCACCAACATAAAAAAGGATGGACAACAGCAGTTTATGGGCCTGCTGGAGAGTGAGCGCTCCGTATTTGCCTCACGGCTTTCTAGGCACATTGTTTCTGCCGGAGCAGATGGTAGAGTGAAAGTGTTGAATGATGTAGATGATGCAAGTCCTATGGAACATGTGATTGGAGAAAAGGTCAATAGTCTTGTTTGCAGAGTGAGTAGTGTGTTTCTTTTTCACACTGTTCATTGTGGTAGGGTGATACGGTTATATTGGCCACCGAAGGGACGTACGTCCATGTAATCCAAGTGGAGGATGGCCTTCCTGAAGGTGTGGCGACTCGATTCACGTCCGAAGTTAATCATGCGGTGCTTAATAAAGACGGTAGCCGGTTAGCTGTCTGTAGCAGGTGCGTTCGCTCCACTTTATTTTTTGTATCCCCTAGTGATTTTCTGATCAAGGTGGTAAACTTCTCTTCTTCGGACGAACGCGAGTTCATTCTGAAGGGCCACACGGGCGGTGTCCTTAGTGTCGCCTTTGATCCGTTAGACATCCTTCTTGCATCAGCATCCTGTGATGGCACTGTTCGAATTTGGAAGGTGGATGACAAGCGCGAAATCAAATCGCTGCGTTGTCTTTCTCCATCGAATGACCCTGCATTTGCTTTGAGCTTATGCAGGTTGTGTTGGGAACATTCGACTGGGAAGGTGGGTCCTGTTGAGCTGTTGTGAGTTTGATGAATTCCAGTTTCTAGCCGTACCAGTTGATAAGCAGATATGTCTCTATGAACGGGATACCTGGGAGATTTTGTCTTATCTCTCTTGTCCCGCGGTCGCTGGAGCTGTGCTTGTGTGTGCTTCGTCCTTTGATGGGAGCTTACTGGCTGGTGGGACTGAAGATGGATGGACTGTGGTATGGCGAATCCAGGATCGGCATGCATTATTTCGGTATGTTCGGTAGCACTTGTGTGTCTTTGATCTACGTAACTTTCTGATCACTAGCTAGTGTAGCTCCTTTCCTTTTCTTTGTGTCACTGTGTTATGCGATAAAGTTGGAAAGATGATTTTCCGCCACATATAATAGTCCTTCGATTACTTTGGGCTACGAATTGTGTCTGCACAGTCCATATCGCAAAATATATTTACCACAAAGAGGTAAGCGCCACTTCGTACCAAACGTATCATTTGGGTGGATGTATTTCTATCACGCACTTGATTGTACGTGCAGGTCGTACAACACAGTTGCTTAGTGTACTCAGTGTGATCGTCTTACTCTTGCGTGGCCTCATCATATTTTTTTGCTTACCAATCCCTCGGTGTCACACAATAGCAACAGCTGCACGCTCAAGTTGGCTGTACTTTTCCTCCTGTTTTGTCCGACAGCAACAATGATTCTCAAGCAAGCTGGGGCTTAAGTGTGGCTTTTGTCCACTTAAATCAGATGGTTGTCATCCACACCGTGTCCGTTGGGATAAAGACGGCAAAGTGTCTAAGGGCAGTTGCCTACTCAGCACGATCGGGTGAATGACGGGATACGACGGAGAGATGTGCTATGTCCACGTTGTGTCACAGCAGGTTTCAGTCGTGTAGGGCGCTACCTGCCTGGGAAGTCCTGGCTGGCGAGCCAGTCGATGGACACAACCAAAGTGTGTTACTGGGCCGTCGTTCGAAGCGTCGGGCGTTCCGGTCACACCACTCAAGCGCGAACATGTTCACCTGTTCAGGCGTAAAAATTCGGATGAGTCAAGCGTGCGCTTGTGGATTAGTGGTAAGACGCTCGCCCCGCACGACAGATGTGCGGAGTCCAGACCCCGGCACGGCTGTTGGATATGCACTGCTGGTGGGCTTCAATAAGCGCGAAACTCGAGTCCAGTGCTTCTCCCCCTTTGGTGTGGACTCACCAGAATGACTGCGCCAGGACAAGAGGACGATTGTTTAAACGAGAGTCATGTATGTATTCTACAAAATCCCGCAACCACCAGCACCTGAAAGTACAATTTGCCCAATGTGGTAGACCACACAACCCTTTAAGACAAACAGATCTAATTCGGCATGAATTCAGCACAAACATCTGGCCCCCACGTTCGTAACACCTTGGTTTCCGTGTGCATTTTCGTAGAGAATATTGTGTGCAAATTCATTAAGGTTGATACCTCAAGGTGAGCCTGAACCTTCCCATGGTGCGTGCGATGGCTTGTGTCTTCTTGATCCACCGAAATATGCCAGGAGCATCCGTGCGACATTCGCGACACTCATACTAGGTGTGTTACTGGTTAGAGTTCCGACCAGCGCAGTCTCCTGCCCTTCCGCACTGTGTCTGGTTGAAGATGCTGCAAGATGTGGCTGCTAATCGGCGTCAATGACATTCTTGCTGCCACCATATGTCCAAATTGCCGGAATGAGTCTCTGGAGGTTTAGGCATCTCGGAGTGATTGTAGTGTTTGTGCCCCTTCCACATCCGCGTTTCTCCTTTTCTTCACAATAAGGATTTCAAATAAATTATGGTCGTACAAAAGCAAAGCATCAGCTTTGCAACAGTGATGTGCTGCTGCCGATGTTGATGATGGCTAAAACTGATATGAGACTTAACACTCGTTACTGATGCCATAGTACACCAGAATATTGCTTCCCTTTAATGAGGATGCAGGCGCAGTCATTTCATATAGTTTTCATCTGATGGAATCCTAGGACACAGTGTGATGACTAAATTCCTTCTGAGCCCATGAAATTTCTACTTGTGTGTAAAATGGATATGCAGCTGGCGAGCCAGTCGATGGACACAACCAAAGTGTGTTACTGGGCCGTCGTTCGAAGCGTCGGGCGTTCCGGTCACACCACTCAAGCGCGAACATGTTCACCTGTTCAGGCGTAAAAATTCGGATGAGTCAAGCGTGCGCTTGTGGATTAGTGGTAAGACGCTCGCCCCGCACGACAGATGTGCGGAGTCCAGACCCCGGCACGGCTGTTGGATATGCACTGCTGGTGGGCTTCAATAAGCGCGAAACTCGAGTCCAGTGCTTCTCCCCCTTTGGTGTGGACTCACCAGAATGACTGCGCCAGGACAAGAGGACGATTGTTTAAACGAGAGTCATGTATGTATTCTACAAAATCCCGCAACCACCAGCACCTGAAAGTACAATTTGCCCAATGTGGTAGACCACACAACCCTTTAAGACAAACAGATCTAATTCGGCATGAATTCAGCACAAACATCTGGCCCCCACGTTCGTAACACCTTGGTTTCCGTGTGCATTTTCGTAGAGAATATTGTGTGCAAATTCATTAAGGTTGATACCTCAAGGTGAGCCTGAACCTTCCCATGGTGCGTGCGATGGCTTGTGTCTTCTTGATCCACCGAAATATGCCAGGAGCATCCGTGCGACATTCGCGACACTCATACTAGGTGTGTTACTGGTTAGAGTTCCGACCAGCGCAGTCTCCTGCCCTTCCGCACTGTGTCTGGTTGAAGATGCTGCAAGATGTGGCTGCTAATCGGCGTCAATGACATTCTTGCTGCCACCATATGTCCAAATTGCCGGAATGAGTCTCTGGAGGTTTAGGCATCTCGGAGTGATTGTAGTGTTTGTGCCCCTTCCACATCCGCGTTTCTCCTTTTCTTCACAATAAGGATTTCAAATAAATTATGGTCGTACAAAAGCAAAGCATCAGCTTTGCAACAGTGATGTGCTGCTGCCGATGTTGATGATGGCTAAAACTGATATGAGACTTAACACTCGTTACTGATGCCATAGTACACCAGAATATTGCTTCCCTTTAATGAGGATGCAGGCGCAGTCATTTCATATAGTTTTCATCTGATGGAATCCTAGGACACAGTGTGATGACTAAATTCCTTCTGAGCCCATGAAATTTCTACTTGTGTGTAAAATGGATATGCAGAACAGCACTGAAATTGTTTTTTGTCCGTTACTCGATGACCGTGCTGTTCCTCTGTTGTGAAGGTGACATGTATTTGGAGGGACTCCTGTATTTTTAGCTATTGCTGCGCGTGCAAACTTACCTGTTCATCATTGATCATATGATCTTAGTTATGAAAGCTCAGTCTCACTTTCACATGTTTCATTAACTTCACGAGGCTCAAAGCCTCCAGTTTTGTCGTTGATTTTCACTTATGCGGGGTTCCTGTCTGATTTCATCCCACTCTACCCTGCCAGTTTGCGTGACCCTTCTGAAAGTGCCGTTTGTAGTCTCGCTTGGCATCCGCAGCAGGAGACGTTGATTTTGTGTGCCAACCGAAATGGCTCAATAGGCCTTATTCGTCTTCCAGAGAGTCGCGTGAGTTCCACTAGTTAGTGTCATTTTGGTAGCTGTCCCATGGCGCAGTTAACCTATCGTTGCTTATTTTAAAATAGTTCATCTGCTTGAAATGTCTTGTTCGCGACCAGAGTTATGACTAGCGGAAAAGAAGTACGTCTCGCCTGAAGAGCTGTACTCAGTCCACTAATTACAGCGCAGAATAGTCCACGTGCAATTCACCCACTTTTTGGATGGAAAATAAATGCCCGAATCCTTCTTTAAACCCTTCAACTGTTCACGAACACCTTTAACCGATTTAGCACTGAGTTGCTCTTTTCTCTGCTGCCTCTCCAAGGTATTTGGCCACGAAACAGATCTGATGAATCCTGAACACGTTGTTTTGGTGTATGGCTTAATTATGTCCCCAAACTGCTCGCCGTTGAGAACCAAGCACGTACCAACGCAGGAACCACACGTATGCTGTGTAACCATAATCGCAACCGGTACTCTGAGCAAATCGTTCCGCTGTGATACCCTTTCGGTGCATGGTTGCCTTGCAGCCTAAATGATGTACCAGGGCTGAGATACTATCAGGTTGCCAAAACATAAACGGGAGGAATCGAGAAGCCTTGACTTTGAAACGTCGATCTTCCATACAGCAGCTTCGCGTCCGCAACTCCTGGACCATCGCGAGCTGGTTTACTTGGAAAATACTGTTGGCGGAACTTCAGTAGTATTGCCCTTCACTGTGATACCTTTTGTCGGGGCTACTCGGTGCTGTGAAGGCACAAAATGGTCTGACGAATCGGGTTTGAGTCTCTAAAGCTTGCTTTTGAACGCGAGCTGCTTATTATTTTCGCAATGTTGTATTCAGCTACCGCTTTCCGAATGATAACGGTGGTGGACGGATAACGTTCTATTTTCATGGAGACGTTCATGTTGCCCTAGCTCACCGCTCAGGCAGCACTAAATAACCACTGTTTTGGGACCGTTGTCGTTTGTGATCTCATCAAAATCCGTACCGTCCGGGAAGTTAATTTGTCCTGACTCGAATAAAAGCTGTCTGAGGAGTTTTAGATGTCTATGGTACCGCTTGGCTGGAAAACCTTGATGAGTGGCTACTCTGTATGAATACTCGGAACAGTTACTAGATTGTTTTTTAATCACCACTCGACCCACATGCATCAACCAAGTGGAACATTTCCCCCTACACATGAGGTCTAGTACATGGCTGTATTGATGGAGTCGTATTCAGGGCTCGAAACGTGCTCTCTGGGAGTTCCCTGGGATATACTGGAGTGTATTAACAAGATGTAAGCTTGAGCGTAATACTTATGATTTGTTATATACTAAGCATAGTAATCGTACTAAGGGACACTGTAAATACAGTCGCATCAAAACCGTCGTTCTTAAAGCTTACGCCATTTTTTGTGATTATTGTCTGGACAAGCGTGCAAGATGCATGAAGCCAAGTAGCACACACCTAGTGAACATAATTGAGCGAAATCCACGGTTTTTTATCTTGTTGCTTTGTGTGACGTAGCAATTCATCATTTTGACCGGCCATCAAATTTCTATTATTAGTCAACTGATGCTGACGTCCTTTCTCCCACGGCTCTGGAGGCTTTGATGGGGTGTGAAGAGGATGGTGATGCTGACGAATTATTGCGGGCGGCTGCCGCTCAGGCAGAGTCGAGCCGCTTGGTAGACGAAACTGAAGCAGCCAAATTATTGGAGCTACCTGACTCAGATGACGATGGGGATTCAATAGATTTATCTCGCATCAAGTCAGGTTATCTTGGGTTAGACGACGAGGACGACGCAGGTGAGCCTGTAAAGGTTGAACAAATGGCCCCGTCGCAACCTGCAAATCAACCGGGGACAGAAGCTGGCTTGATGTCGACCCTTATACAAAACCTTGGACAACGTATTCAACGACCATTTCAACCAGGCTCCATGCCTTTGGGTAAGTTCTTTGATTAGTATAGTGTGGTTAGAATTTGTGTTCAAAATCCGATCGTCCTTTCCGGTCGGGCTGAAGCTTAACGATTTTTCACGACTCAGCTTGCTGCATTGTGGGTGAAACTTACAGTGAACACATCAACCGTACATGTTGTCTTGAAAGACTAAACTCAGGGGAATCGCGCATCACTGATTGGGTTGAGTAGGTTTCGATAGCGGAAAGAAATGTTCGAACTAGTCTTGTTTTTCTATTCTTTACCTTTCCACTTTTTCTCGATAATGGTGGCTGTTGTCCAACTATTTTGAAGACATGATTGTGGTGAATTTTTTCGTTGCAACAATCTGAGGAGCGGACCACAAGAACCGAAGAGGGTACACTTTATGCCCTCCATCCTCAAGAGGGAACACTACAATGTATGTCCCGTGTTTTGTCTCCCTACCCGTGTAAGGGCGTGTACTACTGATGAGGCCTGCGGGTAGTCTGTGGTCGTGTCTAAACCCCGCCACGCGTCTAATGGAGAGTAGAGTTTATTACGGAACCTGTGGAATTGCTTTGCAATATTCGTTTACAATTGTGTAATAGTCAATGAATATCCATGGAAGTTCAAGAGGACGTGTGATAATGTTGTTTTTTAAAAAAATTATGCACATATGTCCAATTGCTTGTGAGTGCTTACTTGATATTTGCTAATAAGCTACTTCGCAGCGAAGAGTTCTCTTCCTTTCACCACTGGACAGTCAATTTGTTGTTGCCATAAACAATTTCGATGGAATATCCTACCATATTTTTTATAGAAAAGAAACGTTTGCAACCAAACTGCCCGGCTCAGCGAACAAGCCAACGACCATCCTACCATATGACTGAGCACTTCATCACCGGATATGGTCTGACTTGGGTTCGGATAGGTACACAGCTTCGCTTTTCTGAACATATCACGTTTGTATTGTACACTGTGGACAGCCAATATGGCACATAGGGTTAAGCAACATACCGATGTTTTCCTGGTTTTCATTTAACTCTGCTTTCATAATAAATTGCCAACACAGCAGATGAGTTGTGACTCACCTTGACCACCAGATGCCTTGTCCTCCGAAAAAAGCGTGAAGCTCGACCGTTCAATATTTCCGCCTCTCTGGTAGTGTGCGCGTTCTCTTGGAGCTGCGGTGAAGCTTACATTGGCAGAACAGGTGGATGTCTGACAGGGCGCGCAACTGACTGTAGGTCGGACGTTGTCAGGTCAACAGAACTTCTGAACTAAGTCACTTAGTCACCATGGCATTGGTCAAGTGAACACTAGAAAGCCACTATTAATGGTTACTGCTCACCATTTTCATATTAGTAGCGTATCATCGTGATGGTGACACTTATGAATGTAACGGTCTGACAGGTTGCCGTGAAATGTCATAATCGTAAAAATCGTTCAGCTGTAGCACCCTTTCAGTGCCAAGCTGCCACGCCACCAGAAGGAAGCACGAGGGCTGAGAGACTACCAGGTTACCCAAGCGTAGACAGAGGAATTCGAGAGGCAGAGGTGAGGTTCGAACCACGGACCTTTCGGTCAGTTAATTCGCGCTCTAACCACTGACCATCTTGCTCGATGTCACCACTGACCTTAACTATATCCACCGAGATTGTGTGCCATGAAGAAGACCAACTAACTCGCCTACTGCACAGCCTTTCACTTACATTGCTTAAAAAATCACTACAAATTTCTTACTATTCTTTCTTGTACATGCAATCAGAGTTCTAAGGTGAATTATGATATTTTCGACGCGCGGACAGAACTGCCCATTTGGTAGTTTTCCGTATTTGTCTCTCCATTAAGTGTTTCACCATATTTGACTTGTGTCTGTTTATCAAGAGGAGTGCTATGCCCTTCCAGGGGTCACTTGGTCTGACCTTGAAGTGACGTCTGCAATACTGTCGAATCCGCCGACTCCTTTATAGGTTTCCGTGAACGGTTTATGGTCTGGAATCGGTTCGGTTTGGTTGTGCAATATCGTGGAGCAAGTGGGGATGACGATGAAGACGAGGATGATCAAGACACGGACGCTGCACTGGGTGGCTCGATCGAGGTTGAATTCCATGACACGTCGGTGCATCACAGTCTGCGTCTCTCCAACAGGGTCGGCTACACCATGGCTGATCTTAGCCTCACCGCACTATTGTTGGCGTCTCCGGTCAGTTAGTTGACTCAATTGGTCTTCCGTTATATTGCTGACAACGACGGCTTAATTCGCGCATGTACTTTATGGCGCCAGGCAACTATCCCTCCTAACCGCTTATCGGCTTCATGTAAAGGTTTATCAGTCAGGTTGAATCCTTGATGCAACAATTGCCTGGTGCCCCGGATGTTTCAAATATATATATATATAATGTATATACCACTATATCGCGTCAGCAGTGTAGTTTTCTTCGAGGAATTTCATTGTGAAATTCAATCAAGGGTGTATCCGTATAACGAGCACAAGTCGTGAGACCTGTCAGTGAAACCAACTTAGAACCCTTAAGACAGTCTCTAATTCCTTTGTCCGTTGACTAAGAATCACGTCATTCGATAAAGCACACCAATGTAGGTATCTCATACACCGGCTGTGCCTTGTAATAAAGGATCATATATGCTGGTTGAAACAAGCAAATAAGGATCCGTATGCTATCACTTGAGAGTGCTAAAACTAAGTGGTAAAACAGATTACATTCAAAATAAGCTACGGCTTTTATCAGGTATTACGAGGTTCAATGTTGAATCAAACCAAAAAACCTCGCGAAGAAAACGTAGTTGAATTGATTGTGACGCCTCGTACGAAGTGAGTCTTTAGAAAGTAGAGATTCAATGACTACTCGGCCTGCGGAAAACAAATACAAGGGTACCCATGAGACTTACCTCATCTATGAAAATCTTCCCACAGATTAATTCAGGTCATTAGTTTAAAACTCTTGAACCAGCGCGCGCGAAAGATAAGTATGAGTTCGTGGAATTGGCCAAGGATTTTAACAGTAACGGGAAAATAATAGCGTCTATTTTCTTGACGAATATGGCACAACACTTAAAAGGAATCCCACATGTTCAGATTGTGCACCGTGAGCGCGCATTTCTCCAGCAATTGGATGGAATGGCTATGGGAATGAGTGTATTTTGCTAATTTCATGCAATTTGGTTACAAGTAGAGCATAAGGTTGACGGAAACTCGAGGACTGCACCTACCTGATGGGCCCTAAGGGCGAAACCGGTCGTGGACTATCGACGAATTTTCAGCAACCTTATGAGTAGTGCATTACGAGTGTCCATGTATCGCGATATCTCGAATATCGTAGCGACTGAAACATGAGGCGGCCTGGCGCAGCACACTCAGTTGCCTGGAAACGTCACAAGCGAGAGATTCAGCTGGGTTCCAGGTGAGTCTCTTGCGAAACCGAATTAGTTTGCAAATAAGTGTATTTGGCTATGGGAATCCTTTTACAACCTGTTTTGATTGAATGCTTTGACAGCGTAATGCGAAGAAAAATCGAAGTCGTTCAGCTGTAGCACCTTTTCGGTGCCTGGCAGCCTTGTCACCAGAAGGAACCACGAAGGCTTGGATACTGCCAAGTTGCCCAAACCTAGACAGGAGAAGTTGAGAGGCAGAGGTGGGGTTCGAACGACGAACCTTCCGGTCAGTACGTTCGCGCTCTAACCACTGAGCCGTCTCGGCGTAATGAACTTATTAATCGATCGTAAACGGTGTGTTGACGATATGTCGTGACACAGGATAACATACGGAATGCCGCTTCCCTCTGAATTGTTTTCTATTCTACTCTGGTTCACAACTGAAACCCAAATATCAAACAACATTCGTTTTCGTGACGTGGAGTTGATGTCTGCTGAAAACGACTGAAAACTCCTAGGACAGTTCGGGATTCTGTTCTGACGAACGAGAGGTGTTTCTATGTCTATGCAGTCTAAGATCTTTTCTGAATAAACATTTTTTTGGAGAGGTGGGTTTTCATTCACCGCATGTTCTCCCTTAATAGCTGCCCATCACATTTTAGCAAAAACTCCAAAACTTGAAACGTAGAGCCCAATTTTACAAAATTTCACCTGCATATCCGTTTTTATTTGATTACCATGCGACGTAGGTGCGCCGAAGTGAAAATATAGTAACCGAATTCTGTAAATCAACAGGGTTGGCTGAAAAGCGATAACGTTGGAAAGCACGTACCTCTTGCGATGGATCACAGCACCCACAAATGGAATTCCAAAGCCTTCTTTACTGGGCACCGAATATACACTGGTGTCATAACAGCTTTATGGACTAGCTATTGGCCGAAGAATAAAGACAATCCGACGTTTGTTGAGGTCATTTCCATAAAACGCACAACCAGTTTTTTATTCGAAAACAAACAGTGGTCAATCTGGCACTTTCGTTCGAGTAAACAGCTGTTCCTCACTTACGCCGGAATTTACTTCGCTCTTCTAGCGTAATGTACAGACTCACTGTAAGGGTGAGGTTTAGTTTAATCTAAGGTGATTTTTAACCAATGGCGAAATGTTGCAACACGCATCCCTCGCCAGTCAGGACGGGATGTGGTTGTTTCCCGAACCCCTCTTGAGGAGGACCCTTCCAAGGACCGAACGATTCTCCCCGGTGTTTTTCGTATGGGGATCTTTTGGGACCCTTAGGAGCGAATCTTAAGCTTCAAAATGCTTGCTAACGGTAACACATGGGCCAATCATTCAGCTAATTAAGGCCTTCGAACGTTCATTCAATAGTGAAGCGGAGTTTGTGAGGTCAAACGTGCCTCCCTACCAAAGACAAACCGAAGTCGCATTCAACTCCCTAGGTTTAGTGTAAAGGTATTCGATTTGCTTATTCGGAGGTCGTTTATGACTTCGACTGTAGCCTGCCACAGACGACTACTTACCCGTAAATTTGATATGAAGCCATTTTCATTTTACTTTTTATTCTAAACATATTCGGCTCATGTAGCCAGTGTCGTCATAAACCAACCCGTACCAAAATCTAACTTTCGTCGGGCTTTGACTTTTGTTCAGTTTGACGTAAGGGTTATTGCATGTAAACCAGTCATGGTCAGTCTGGTTTTTATTGAGCTTCAGTGATAGTCTATGTACTCTGTTTTGTTAGGGGTCAATACTTGCCACATGGTTGTGCGGTCTTTTGGAGTTCTGCTCTGTATCAATGGAAAAATTGAGGATTCGAAATGCCTATGTTCTTTGTAGGACGTACGACTATGAGGAAGCACCACTGTTGATATGTGCCAACATCAGTTCATTGTGTGCCTTTCATCATCAATAGTCGTTCAGTGTTGCTGAATCATAATCCGTCGACTTGCTTTTTGCAAATGAAACTGACTTGTTTCATATGTGGCAGTCCGGACGTGCGCAGTCAGCCTGCTTGTGGACTATGGTCCGTCATTTTGATTCTTTTCTATAAGTGCGCAAACTGAATGCATTCTAAAAACCCACTGAGTGAAGCTGCTTACGTTGGCAGTATATTCTGACTTCACTTTCAGATGTCCATTTTCCCCAAGCTCTTTTAAACCGAGCATCTTTTATTGTTCAAGCGTTTTGGATTTAACTTGTTCTTTCAGTTCAGTCTCAATTTTTTTTTACTTTTTATTGATTCATGGTGTCACTTTCGTATCATGTCAGGAGCTGCTTATTTCGAGCATAAGCCCTTCCGGATTGATTCTTTTTTTCGGACAACCGTATCCACCCTCACGTACAGACCTTTCCAAGTGTAAACACTAGGAAGTAAGCCTTGTTTCTTTTATGTGTTGTGACTACAGTCGTTCTACTATTTGCCCTTTTTTGTGATAGGGATCGAACGACCGGAATTTGGCGGATGACTTTGATGCAGGTGTACAGTTAGATCCAGAGGATCTCAGTCAAATAGCTGTACTTCCACTGGAGACTGCTGGAGGTGGTGGCGATACATCGTCCTCCGAGTGGACGATTAAACTTCCAGCTGGCGAGGCCTGTGATGCTGTTTGCCTTGTTCCTCACGAAGATCCTGATGAACGAGGTTATGCCGTAGTGGCTACCTCGAAACGATTTATTCGTGTGTTTTCTCAGCCATCTCCATCGGCGTCGCTGTTACGACCATCAGCCGGATTGCATCTGTTTCAGCTAACCAAGTTAGGTTTACCGCCCCTGAGTATTTCGGGCTGTGGTGTGGTTGCAATGGCAAGCCATCCCAGTCGGCCGATTCTGGGTGTAGTTAATTCAACCGTTGTCGGTGAACTGGCCTGGAGACTGTTTTACTTAGGTGGCACTATGTTGGGTGCTGAGCGTAGCCCAGCTCCTGCCTGGTTAAACGGCGTACTGTCAACTTGGCAAACACTTCCTCTAAGTCCTGCCCCATCGAGCAGCCCATCATCATCATCTGGATGTTCTTCCGCGCGACTGACGTGGTTCGGATTTTCTGACCTCGGGGGATTGTACACACATGACGCTTCGGGTACCGTGAGGCGCCTTGTTCATGGTCGGTCGCCCAATCGCCCGGAATATCATTGGATTCCTGTGTGTGACACACACTCTGTCCTGAAGCCTAGTAACCGGCACTCTGACACGTATTTCCTAGTGGGAGTTATGGAGTCAACAGAATCAATTTCAGCACAGACTTTGGAGTCAGAAGCTCCGGCGGATGCAGGGTTTGGGCAGTTACAAACAATCTATTGTAAGGCCTCTAAGTGGCCTCGCGTATTTCCTCGTCCGATTGTTTCAAATTTGTCTTTTCGACTTCCTTTGTGCTCCATCGGAACGGATCAAGGCAATCTTGAGGTAGGTAGCGACTGTTTTCATCACTCTCATGGCATGCATATTTCTTGAGTTGGTGTCCTACAAACAAGTTCACCTGTCGGTTTATTCAGCCAGACACGAATATGTGCATATTTAGGCGCTACTGAGGTGGATATCGTGCTTTCTCAAAATATCAACTGCTGCCTTCATGTTGTTTCCTTTCCCATGATCAATTTACGCACCAATGGTTGACAGCCCAACTTTTGTCCCTTTTTCTCAGGAAACATATCTCCGTTACCTGATCAGTGAGGATTGGCCTGTTTGGGGTCCCAACCCGCGATTAACCAGTTTGAGAACAGCTGATATTGACGAACCTGAACTACTACAGACTGTTTCTGCCAAGTGTTTGACCAAGCGCAAAGGTGTCCTCCTGCGTTTGTTCGCCGTGAGTGCAATTTTTCGGACTCTCTCAGTACTTTGACAACGCCTATAGTCATGTCTGTTTTGCTCAGGTTCAATTTCCCCCTTCAACCCAGGGTGACTAACACAGTTATGGTTTTCCACGGTCAACAGCGTTAGTCTCCGTTTTGTGGGACTCCATAAGAAGTCCTCATAACAAGTCTTTGTGAGGAATACATTATTCAGCCTAGCATATTCTAAACACTGACCATAAAACTACGCTCGAGTACTCCTGGCCATGTTGATGATGTTGACTCCTTACTGGTCAGAACTAGGTAACCTAAGTGTTCCCGCCCACATGCTATCGTAGAGCCGCATAGCAACTGTGTGCCGCAGGTATACTGCAGCCTGTTGATGTGACTGTAACTTCCAGTCTCTTGTTGAACAGCTGGTATGGTGAAATATTCCTCAGATTATGAACCTTCGTTCTAGTTGAACAGTATTTGTGGGCCGACAATGTGCGCGAATACTGGCACTGCTTGACGTGCCGACTAAATGAAATGTTCAGAGAGCGTTATTGAAGCACAAGTCTTCAATATCGACGTTTCGGAGGATGGTGAATAACAGCTTTCTTTATCCTCAGATACTGGATCAGGTTTTTCTCTTTCTGTTTTTCTCTGCCCTCTTGTTCTTCGGTGCCACACCAACAGCTAACCGAGCCAGCTGGACTTTCCAGCTCCCTACTTATCGTCACTGAACATCAGTTTAGTCCCTTCATGATTTGACTGTACGCTTCATGTGCATTCTAGTCAGCCAGGAGGGATTCCTCATGCTTGTTGCTCATATACGGAACATAACTAATCTGTGAGCGCCACTTAAGAGCAGGAGCACATCGACTGTGACTTCGTAAGCCCTCCTGGTTGTAATTGTGACCATCAGAGACCACTCTCTCCTTTGCATCTAAGAAATTATATACTACTTACTGCATTTTAGTAGTTCATTTAACGCGACAAAATTTCCTTTTGCCGGTGCCTCCAGGACACCATGCAAGAATTCATTTGACCTCTGGTCTCAATTACTATAATCCCCACGCTCGATTAACCAAAAAACCGACTCCCAAAAATCTAGTAGTTGAAAAAAATGTCACCGGAAGCGCATCGCGTGATGTTGAATCCAACAACCTGTTAACCACCCACCCACCCACCATAGTCTAATGTTGGACACATCGGTGGAACTGTACCACTGCGCCCCGGTTTGCCGTTCGTTCTCCATCGTGTACAGACAATTAGTTATTTTTCAAATCGTAACATGCTTTAGCTGTTTCGCGGCAGAGTTACTCAGTTCTGTCAGCGTACCTTAGTGAGCACGAGGTATGATTTACTGCTCCACCAGCAAGTAATAAAATAAACGGTCCTTAAGAACATTGCTTGTTTGATGAAGGACTTCTGAACATCAAATTGGCGGAAATTGCTGCTGGGCATCAGTATGCATACAATAAATTACCTACCAAAGTATTGAAATCTCGCGTACAGAATACCAAACACCATTTCCTATCAAGCTTAGAAGTTTTCATGCCAATCGCATTGTGTGGTCCATTGAGTTTTGACTTCCTTTCTGATCCGTGTCACATTCATTCTAATGGACAGGTTTGTTGTAGCATCCAGTGTGTCTTCTTCCGGATCGTCACTTAGAGATTGACCTTCGACCGGGTTCCGAGTGACGGTCGACTGTCGGTTTTATTGTTTGAATTTTCCTGAAAAGTCATCCAAGTCCAAGTTGATTGAAGCTTAGGGACCGCACTTGTATAATGAACCGTAACGAGGACGGAACCGTGGACTGTGGAAAAGTTCTAAAGAGTTACACGCATTTGTATATCAATTTGGTTTTGACGGAGGACTCACCTAGAACCCAGGCGGATCTCTTGTTTATCATATCCTCGGTGAGTATTTCGTCAAAGCCAAATCGGCATGCAAATGAGTGTATTTGCCGAATTATGGGTTCAAGTAGAACATGAAGTTGACGGAAACTCGGGGACTGAGCCTCGGGACCCAAGAAGGGCGAAGCTTGTTGTGGGCTGTCGAAGAGTTCTTATCAATGTTGTGAATAGTGTATTGGGCATCAACAGTCCTAATAGCGCTTCACGCTCTTTCACCACAGAACTTGATTTCTTAAGACGTATGTGCATGCAAAATAAAGTGTTGAACAATCTTTCGGCGAATGAATCAATTACCGTCCGGTTAACTGCCACTAAACGCACCAAAGCTGCCCGTATTTTTAACACGTCGCCATACAAAATTAAGTATTGTTGTAAATTCGGTGAGGCTAGTTGGTGAGGTTTCAGGTTCAAGAGGCAAGTAGGTTTTCATTCACTAGTGATGAAGTACTGCACACAAACAAGTCGACTACCACTGACTTCCCTTAAGCTTTGTACTTGAGATGACCAGGTCTTTCCCTCACTTGGACTTCAAAGTATTTCGTGTGTGCGGGTTTTTTGTAGGTACTGTTCAGTAGTAGATACTTAGCTTGTAAATGTACAGCCGAAATCTTTGGCGTATGAAACAGTTTTATTGTCGATCAGTTTTCCCATGTTTTCTTACCACTATTACTGCACCACCTTTAAAGGAGTAACTTGGTAAGGAAATTACGAATGAACATCTTTGGTCATGCTCATAGGAAAGGTTCATTCAAAACACAGTAGTAGTATGGCAAACGTCTAATCGCCTCAATGTTTCTTCACCGATGGTGACCATCTTTAAGGGTTTACACAATCAGGATAAACGTCAAAGGGAGCAGAATATGAATCGCAAATAAATCTTAGAATGGCTGAAACTTTCAATTTGCATTTTCCTGAGTACTCACTATGGGGTGACTTAGAAAATATGGATTGTTAACGGTCGTCTTCAGTAAAGGTGCTCAGTATTCTAACTCGCAGCATTTCTTAACCCGAACTTTATTTACATGAACCAGGAGCTGGGTGAATATTCATCGTGTAGTGAAGAGGTAGGCAAGTGTCTTGATACTCACTTACATCCAACTAGGAAAACTGCGATTAGATTCGTTTCCAAATTCCACATCGCATCTTCTCGATTGGTGTTAGACTTGCTCCCCTGATGGTTGATCACTCCTATAGGTCTGATTCTTGGGTGAAAATTCCTTCCTAAGTGAACTTCGTTATTCGTTTTATTGGTTACTCTTGTTTCTCTTTACTCCTCCCTGGATTTGCTTCATAGTTGGCAGCCAAACTAGAATCAGACTGGGCCAGCCTTGCTATAGCTCGTCTTATGCCAGATGCGGCTACCGTTCAGCTGGCTATTCGGTACGCCGGCCGATTACGCCGTCAGCATTTGGCTCAGCGGTTAGCCGGCGTCGCACTGGAAAAGGAACGTGCTGCTATCCCTGTGGTAGATTCTCACAGTTCAGACGAGGAGAAAGAAGAACCATTTTACGATCCCAGGATGCGGTTTACCGCCTCAAAGTAGGTTGGTATTTTTTTGATTGTCAGCTGACTTCTATGGGTTGCGCAAACAGCCGAAATGTTCTGATTTATGACATACCCAAATGTTTTGGTTTGTTTTTCATTTATTTTAATTGGAAAACGTTTTTCAACCACATTTTTTATCCGAAAACGATTTTCCATCCCGTTCGATCTCGGTTCGTTACTAGCTACTCCTGGTGGATCCGCTCCATTTCCTTTCTGATTAGGATTAGTTGCAAATTTGAATAAATTTTACAAGCACATAGAGGATGTGTTTAATGGATGGGTGGATGTGTTTGTTCTGCACAATTGAGTCTTTTGATTTCAACTTATATTACAATGCGTCGTAAATCGCTTTCCAGCTTAGCGCAGGAGCTGCTTTTCGCCGTGAGTTGTTTCGTGAGAAAGCGAGGCCGTCGATTTTACGGTCGGTCCCTAGCTGACGCTTTGAAGTTGCGACCTCGAGAGGTGCCTTTTCTCGGTACCGGACGAAGGCCCGTTGGTCGTATCTCGTTGCATTAACACGTGTGAGAAATGCTTCCTTCAGTTGAATTTCAACTAGTCAACTTCATTTTCTAGCATTCTAAACACCACACGAAGGTAGTTATCATTATGGCACAACTGTCTGTTACCTCAAAAAAAACACGTTTATGACAGAAAGATATTCAGCTTACTTTCCTATTCGCTGCGTATTTATTCACGATTCTGTTGTAATCGTTTTTTGTTGTAGGATAGATGTCAGAATGCAATAGTTAAGCAACGACATGTTTCATTTCCAGGTGCAACAAATACGTGTCTGATGCGAATCCCGTTGAATCCTACAATGCGCGGCCCGCTGGTCGAACCGGACGCCGCCATCCATCCGGTGCCCACGATGAGCAAGACTTGTCCAATGTGTCCTTGGTCAGTTCAGCGACAGATGATACTCAAGACGAGGGCCATCTTAGCGGCTTGCCACTGCCGGACTCCGAGCCTCTAACACAGTCCATGTTGTCTTCTAATTCACTATCCAGCGTTACGGCGCGCAATCCGTTCCGTGTAAGTTCTGCTTCCAACTGCGGTTCTACGGTACACGCCAAGTTTTCTACTTCGTTCTAGAACCCCATCGTGGCGACGGCAGGTAATCGTTATGAAAGTCTGTGTGCCGATAAAGTTAAGTTGTTCGTCTCATAAACAAGAGAAATTTGCTACAAGATATCCTCCTTGTTGAGGTGGTCCCCTTTGGCGGAACTTCCTTCCTGTAAAGCGGATCCCACCATTTGTATCATGAAATTCGATGAATATGGTAGTCCCACTTCATGCTTACTGATCTCCTATTCCTTCATGGACTTCCCTTGCACTACTGATCTCCCGGTCACCCTCAGTCAGTCAGTCAAACCAGAATTATTGTAAGAGCCACCCTTTTGTCTAAGGCGTACCATTTAGGCGAGTAAAATAGGATCGCATTGCAATGAAGACAGTGCGTTATGTTACAGCAGAGCGCCTGTAGGGCTGGATGATGGCCATGTATTCCCAAACATCAAATGCTGACTTTGGTTCAGAAATCCGGACTGTTTCCACCTTTCCATTACTAGTACCAGCGGCGAGGACATGGTTAGTGGTTTCGGTTATTTTAGGCTACATGCTTCAAGGTGACAAATGTTTATTCGTGTTTTCTTCTCCCTTCATTTTTCGCGCTTCAGGAGACCAAGTCTTCTGGTGGCAAACAATCCTCCAACGGGTCTAGTGTGTCAGCACCCCGCGGTCGCGGAAGTGAGATACTAGATAGTTGGAAACCACACAGCATCGACAATTCGAATTCGGATACTCAGAGGTCATCTCAGCCCAAGGCAGCATCTCGATCGGGTAAGAAGCGCGCGGGACCAGGGCTGACTAACGAGGTAGGATTTATTAGTGTGGCAACTTTTGAGTTGATACATTATATTCACTCTTTGGTCTGTGTGTGTCAATCCTAATCGGCATTATCAATGTGAATATCAGTTTACCTCCTTTCGGTTTTTTCTGTTAGACGGTATTGCTGCGTATTTCTTTCGACCATGACCATTCACGGATCATATAGTATTCCATTCTGGTCGATATTTTGACCGTGCTTTAGCTATTTGAGGTTCTCTTGCTGGTGTTGTATCAATTTTGGTGGCTAGTCAATCTTGGGGTAGGATAGAATGATAATACACTGTTCTGAGGCGGTGAACGTTTCTGAACGACAAATGTGTCTTGTCTGACAAACTTTCCTGTCTAGTTGTTTGCCTATCCTCCTTACAGAACACCTTTAACAGCAGATTGGGAAGATAAAAAATATCCGACTTCGGCGGGACACTTCTAATATTTTCTTTGAAAAAATGCCCATTTACACACACCGAAATCGATGGCTAACCGGTATCCCCAATTGCGGGTTTTTCCAAACAGCGCTAGCACCAACCCTATCTCTGGCTGAGTTGTCATATACTTTTCCACCCTAATTCCAAACTATGCTTTTCCTATGGGAGGACCTTGTCGCTTTTGTTTCTTTGCTGCTATATTTGGCAGTCATCATCATCATCATCATCATCATCATCATCATGGACAGCATGACAACATTTATGCTTCGCTGCCGTACAACCATGATCCATTTGGAAGCTTTATCTTCAAAAAAATAATAAAGGTGGACAGAGAAGGGAGTTAGTATCAGCTTACTACAATCATTCCGAGGAATCTACACCTCCAAACACTCATTCAGGCAATCTGGATAGAAACTGACAACACGAACGTCATTGACATCGATTAGCAGCGTCTTCAACCAGTGGGAATCACGGGTTACTCATACTGTTAGGCCGATATCACCCAAACGTTTCGTTATCTCTTTCTGCTCTTCTGCCGCGTCAAGGGTTAACCACCTCCCTGTTCATGCCACTCTGGAGTGGGCACGGAAAACAGCATGCTCTTCGACAAATGATGGTTCGGCATACGCAATACATGTTCCAACCAACGCAGCTTCTGGTGCTGGACACATCCTTCAATGGATGAACAACCGATAACTCCTTTTCTATTTCCCCTGTCACGCCTTCGCCGACATATTTGGCAGTTAGCTTACGGTGTGTTTCAAACTCGTTAGTTGGACAGCAGCTACCAACGAATGCACTTATATTCCGGTTTGGAAGATCATGGGCTCCCGGTGTCTTAAGAGTACCTTTTAGCGGACGTAGCAATTTTATGAATTCGTCGTGAAGGCCTTGAATTAACGTTTTATTCATTGTCTTCATACATTGACCGGTTTCAGCAACCACGGAAACGTCAGTCAAAGGTTCCAAAGCCATTGCAAACTCAAGTGCTTGAGAAAAAAGACGATGAGTAAGTGCATATGTCAGTTTCGTCCAATTGTCGTCTAAACGCGTGGGATTTGGGTGTTACTACATCTGTCGTTTCTCACTGCTTACAGTGCTCCAACGGAATTCATGGATTGGTTCGATGAACACAGAGAAGAGCTCGAGGAACAATATCCCGAACTTTCAGCGGAGGAACTGTTACGCACAGCTCAACAAGAATTTCGGAAGGTAGGTACTTCTGTCACTCGTATTTTTTCAATTACTGTTTTCTATGGATTGTCTTGAGGGAAGAACATTCTACTTTGTGCTTATTGTTGTTCCTTTCTCAGAGTTTGTTGAATCTTGTCTCGAGTCCCTTCAGGGTATAAAATGCACGCTTATAGCCAAGTAGGCGTTTATTTAAATCCACCACTCCGCTACAAATTTTAAAAGATCAGCTCCAAAAAGGAAAAAAGTCCGCAACCTGCATCGGTTTTTCATATGAGGTGTGTTTAGTTGTGGAGCCATGTAGCATTAGATGACACGACATGATGATGACTGAATGATTGGAGAATAGTGGCGCGGTTTTTGTCTGTGTGATGTGATCACAGTGCTTACCGGCCACTCTTGACTGAACGGCTTCTTCTTCAACTGCTAACGGGAAGGTCGTGGGTCCAAATCTCTGGATGAACACTGCTGGTGATTCTCAACAAGGATGAAGCTGCTGTACAGATATTATCGACTTCACGTGCGGGGTCGAGTGCCTATCAGAACTTCGAATTTTCCTCTCTACATACGAGTTTTTCCGATGTCTGACCGGCTCATTCTGACTCACCCAGTTATTTGAAACGATGATGTCCGCAGCTTATTTTGACAATGGTGGATTTCGTGATGAACTATATTATATCAGATACCGCTGCTTCCAATGCACAGCCACCTACCCCATCTCCCCAAATCATCGGTGAATGAAACTGTGGCAAATCTAACCACTACGGCAAGTACGCGGTTCCTGCAGCAGAGATATATCTTGTTGTGAGTTTACTTCTACTCAAGAAGCTGTTTATCCTCGGAAATATGTCGTTAATCATTATATAGCTGCTCCTTATCCCGTTTTAATCCACAGCATGCTTACCAATACAGTTACCTCCGGGAAGACTTTCATAGCGTCGACTGCCGTAACTATTCTGCTCGTCGTTAGGCAAGCATCCGTGATGAGGAATATAGAGCACTGACTGAAATCGACTAATTTTAAATAAGCATCGACAACGACGCTTTGACTGATGGTCGCCTATTCAAACTATTCACATTCAACCGTCTACTGTCATCACGTTGAACGTGACTAGACACGACGGGCTTAGTCAAATACATTCGTTGCGAATGTTTAAGATTTGGACAGGACGTACACGGGAATATCTTTAACGAAAAGTGCACTCACACTCTTTTTTAGAAAAAAAAACCCCAGGATAAGGAAACCCGTGGTACTACAGAAGGAAGCTTGAAATTTGGGGTGCTGGTGATGTACACCACTTTATCAACCAGTGATTACAAAGCGCACTACAGTACGTCACACGTTTGAACAAACAACAAGAATGTCGTTGTCCACCCCACGTTGCACTCACAAATATGAGGTTGCATATGAAACGGAAACACATCTTTCAGAACGTTTGCCCAAGTGTATATCCAGCTTTGTAAATGAATCTCCCAAAACGTCGGTCGTAAATCTCGATACTGTTGCACCAAACTACACTGGCATGTAAGACATGTTCCGGGTTGTGGGTCGTAAAAACAGGACCACTCTTGTACTGGACAGATGCTGTGGTCATCTGATATCAAGAACTTAACCACTCCAACAAGAATGTCGTTGTCCACCCCACGTTGCACTCACAAATATGAGGTTGCATATGAAACGGAAACACATCTTTCAGAACGTTTGCCCAAGTGTATATCCAGCTTTGTAAATGAATCTCCCAAAACGTCGGTCGTAAATCTCGATACTGTTGCACCAAACTACACTGGCATGTAAGACATGTTCCGGGTTGTGGGTCGTAAAAACAGGACCACTCTTGTACTGGACAGATGCTGTGGTCATCTGATATCAAGAACTTCTCCCAACCCAAGCTCGGCGAGCAGATCAACAGCCACCTGGCCAACCATCAAGAACTTAACTTGTGCTTCTGAACTTGGGTAGTTTTCAGTTTAGCTTTACCTCTGTAAAGTTGGATGGATGATAATGTGCCTCACCCGACGTCCCGAAACCCCCAAATTCACTGACTTCTCACCAATGTTCACACAATGTTCCCAATGTATTTTCGCGTATGTCCACCGCTATGGGGCCTGGTTCCATCCCCCATGCCTGCTAAAACCCATCCGAATATCCTTCCTCGTATGCTGAATTCCACAATAAAATTTCATTGTCTGTTTAATTTGGAAAGTTTCCTACCCATGCGGAGGTATCGAAGATTTTTCGGTGAAAATGCAAATCTGAACTCAACGGCTACCCCATGTCTCGCGAAAATTATATTTTATCCTACTTATTCATTTATTTACGGAGGTAAACGTATTCTGCCACGCACATTATTTTCTAATTCATTCAGCCGCTCTGCTTTTAACCGAACATGTATCATCCTTGGGTTTTTAGTGCTCTGTGCACCATATTTACCAATGCATATTACCAGCCAGCTCGATTTATTTTGAAATTTATAACTTTGCTTTTTGTCTTAGTATGTCCGCTTTCGTCCAAAGACACTACCTGAAGGCATGATTGTCATTTCTCGTCAGTGGTCAATCGCAATCCCCAGCTGCGTGATTTCTTTAATGCAACCTTTTGACCTCTTTGCTTTCCTGTCATGTTTTTTGCTAGTTCGTTGGCCAATTCCATCTGGGGGTTCAATTGTAGGGTCCTTGGGGCGTTGCTAAATCATCGCCCAATCGAAACATCGAACGATTTCTTGTGAGGTTCAGAATTCCCATTCAAATGAAGTCAAATTGGAAGATTGTTTAACCGCTTGATTCAACCATAAAAATGATGCTTTTTGGCTTAGAACTACTTACTTGTATATTGTTCAAAAACTACATTTCACATTCTATAGTTTGCTGCGTTCTGTTTGCTTTGATCATTCTTTATCAGTGTATATTTCGATTTCTGTCGGTATTCATGAAACCACTCAAAATTACTGATTATGTATCATGTAAGGATTCGTCAACATAGAACACCAGTTTAACAGTCACTTGTTCACTGTTTTTCCTTACGTACAAAACAGAATTACCCAGTAACTCTAGCTCACAAAGATGTCCCTTTATGTAGATTTACGCGATCAGGAGTAGTATGAGGCTTTCACTTTTAATGTGACGAGACAGCTGGATCAGATGTTACCGAATTACATAGCGTCTGGTGGTTCTAATCAAACTATTCTTTGTTGCTGAAGGTTGCCACCTGTGATTTAAGTATGTTTGACTTAAGAAGTATGAGATCACTACTCGTTTACGCGCTTACTCGTCTATTGTAGATAAAGGCTAAATCGCTAACTTCGCGAATAGACAGTGAGGACTCTCTTGATGAAAAGGAAAATGAACCCATTCCAACGACGTGTAACGATGCAAAAGTTATGGCTCCTGGTGCAAATAAACACTCGTTTTCAACTAATGCATCTAAGCGGTTGTCTTCATTCAAGTTTGACTCGAATTGAGCAGAGTGATTCGACCAGATCAATCAGGGCCTTCCGGATTTCTGCATTTTTGAAACTGTCCGATACTATTTTTCTACTAATGGGGGGGGGGGGTAGTTTGAATACACCGTTTATGCTCACTTGTGTGTTCACACCTTTCATTTTATGAAGTAAATTCCTATTCTCAATATGATGGGACTTTTACTCTTTTTTTCTGGGTATCACGCGACGAAATGGACCAGAGTCTGGCTGAATACCAAATACGGGCAGCGGAAAATTTCAGCGATTTTGTTCAAATTACCCTAGAATTTCACAGTTCCGCGTCCTATACATTGGTGTTTCCACGTACCGTGTGTCGAAGGGCTTTCTTGGGATAGCAACAGTCCTCGGCATAAATAACAATTGTTCTCAACGGGATACACGCGTTGGAATCACATTCGATGAGAACACGGGTTCATCTCTGACAGGAATGATGAGTGATATTGTATTCATGAGGCCTTTGCTGTTGTTGCGTCGACACTGTCACGTTCATAGCTGTCCAGTCATCTCAACAAGGAATTGGAGAAATTCACCGTCACCTACGCGGTGCATTTCCCCCCTGTATTCTCTCTAATCTTAATAAACTAGACCATTGTAGTGGGAATCAACGTGCACGACGAATGGTTTGGAAATGCTAATCAACCTAACATTTCCTCAATTGGTCTCGGTCTCTGGACAACTCACTCAGAGATTGTCAAGGAAAGGCACTTGAGTCCCCACATATCATTCGTCAGGTTTGGGTTTGTGTTTCGAATTGTTAATTGGTGAAAACAGCTTTCTCGAGTTTGAGTGTATTTCGCGAACAATGTCCGATTTAGATTCGAGGAAAACACAAGCAAGATGGAGGCTTGAGGCACGCGTCCACCCGATGAGCCCCAAGCTGTAGAAACTGGTCGTTGGTTACGGAAAGGTTTCCAACAACCCTGTGAATAATTTTCCGTCAAAGACTGAAGTTAGTTCGATGGGTTAGTAGAAGGAAGTCGCTATCACGAGCGCTCAGGTTTTCGCATTCGCTGCTAATCCCGAATTTTAAGTCATCGCATTGCTTAACTCTCCGAGAACAACCGCCTCGTAAATGATAATGTATAACTCGTTCGTCCTTCGTATAAGCCAGTGACGGTGTACAAATCCCAACTCATTCTTCTATCATGGATTTGGACACCGTACTCTTCGGCGGCCGGTGTTTGTGTATAAGTGTGGTCTGGCTATGCCCGTTCCGAGCCATGTGAATTCTTTTCAATGATTAGGTTGAATTTTCTGTCCTGGAGTTTCAGGATACTCACAACATAATCCGAAACGAGCCGGTAAATCCAGACGCCAAATATTGTTTGGTGGTTTTGCCCATTAACGCCGACACTGGTATGCCACGTGCATTCTATTCCCCATAGAACAGAGACGCCACTTCAAGGAGTACTATGATCATTTGATATTAAACACCCACAGATCCCTAGTTCATACAACATACTATCCCAGCACACATCTACCGCAAAGTAGGATCAGCTAAGATCCACTTCAATCTTTTTAGATTATCGCGAATGTTTATCGTAAATAGTCACTGTCATGTGATGTGACAATGAGTTTGACAACAAAGTCGATTTGACAATTCCTACAGGTCTCATCCATTCCGCTCCCAAGTTCAAGTATGGTTGTGCTCACTGCCCGAAGCTTCATTTTGGGCGCCTCCAAGACAGTAACACTGTGTGAACTTTTGTTGCGTGGCAGGCAGTTCCAGAGCAGATAGTGTTTACCAATAAGCTGGATGGTGATGGAAGTAGTGTGTGTGCGCGGCTGAGTGTTGTTCAGTAAAGTGATTGCTGATGTTCATATCTGCTGGGTGGCTGCTTGTTAGCGGATTGGGAATGTTTTGTCCATACTAATTAAAAAGCTGCTGTAAAGCATGGGTACATAGGATTATGGATGTTACCGATGAATGATCTGATCATTCCTCTTGGTTGAGGATTCTAACGAAATAGCAAGAAGAATTTGTTGCCGCGGTATATGCACAAACCTTGATTTTAGAAGAATCGAACAAGATGACACTGGAAAGACACTCAAATCCTTTTGTTTTCAGCGAGACCAACTAGATTTTGCGAAAACCGATTGTATTACCCAGTACTGACAACTGAGTGGACCCAAGCATATACAGCTGGGTCTTGTTGACTGATTGCTTAAAATCTGTTATTTGCTTGGTCGGTGAAATGGTTTCCTGAAAGCTTTCAAGTCCCTTGATCGTATGTTACTGGTTATGACACGGATGCGGGTTGCACTGTCAAGAAAAAAACACCGGGTGGAGGAAATTACTTTGACGTGGTACTCCCCCAACATACGTAGCCATGCACTTATCTTTTGACTTTTCACTTACCTTTCAACATGTCAAGATGAGTGCATTAGGTTGTCAGAAATTTCTTAACATTAGCGATAAGTTCTCACCAACCAGGCCGTCAACCAAACCCGAGCTCTTTGCTGTTAGATTTAAAGGATGCAATGTTTTGAACTTTTGTTGTGCGATCATGTACATTTGTCTTCCATCAGCAACCTCGCACGTGGAAAATCGCTCTTTTGCTTATGAAATTGAGTAAACAAAACAAGAAAACTGGTTAGCTGACAGTGAAACAGAGTGTGTGAACAGTTTTAGAATCACTAAATGAAGTCACTAGGAAACGACAGTGAAGGGCACCAGTACAACTTCCTCTCCGGCCAAATGGGTACTCTACCTTGTTGGTAGGCCCGTGTTTGTTCAACGTCCCGTAATAGAGATCGGAACAGTTTTTTGCGCGCCCTTGTGCACATTCATCCCGCCTGTGGTCTTGTACACATTGATCGAACCTCGAGATACATTTCCAAGAGAAACAATGAGCAATAAAGTCTGGCTTAGCAGAAATTAGCAAAAGTCACTAAGATCCCAGCAGTTGAACAATTATTCACCTTAACTTACGCCACAGACCCCAAGCTGGCCTATGGGACTAGTTTTCGTGAGCCTTTCCAGTTTAAAGCGAGTCTCATTAAATGGTTACAATTCTGTTCTTGCAATTCAGTCTTTCCAATACGAATCAGTCTATCCTCGACCTCAGAGTTATTCTGGCAGAGCCGGTAAAAATGTCAGCCAGGTCGACACCGATAATGGTCACCAATTGTCCCCCAATAGATTACCGTTGCTGTGAACACTGAGTGACGGGTTGCCGATCAAAATACTGTCTATTCGATGATGATTCGAAAATCATGTTCTCTTTATCTTTCCTTACGTGAGTCTCAGGATGATTTTTCCAAGCAAACATCTTCCGTCTGTCTCGTGTTACTGTTCGTGGTTGCTGAATGTGTGAGACCAACAACTCCGTAGTAAGCCAGAGCTGTGAATACGTGTAACGCCATGCAAACAAATGAACTGAACTAAAAACCAGGTTAGAAAGAATAATTTTAGAGTGCGTTCATGAGATGATAGATTCTGCTTTCGAAATTACGTTTTAAATGGCTTTAAACCCTCGAAGGAAAACTATCAGGGCTTTCGTAGTGAACTACTCATAAGGTTGCTGAAAACTCTTCGACAGCCCACGACCGATTTCGCCCTTCTTGGGGCTCATCAGTTAGGCCTAGTCCACGAGTTTCCATCAACCTTATGTTCTAATTGAAACCAGATTGCATAAAATTAGTAAATATACACTCATTTGCAAACAGTCTGGTTTTTTCATCACGAAGGAATTTTTTTGATATATTTCCTAAAATGCGATTGATGCTAAGGTGTGGCCACTCGATATATGCAAACCGATAGAGATAGTCTGATGACTCGGACGAATACAGAGCAGTCATATTGCTGTTACATTTAGCGTAAAGTTTTGTGATGATGTACGGGTGTGTCGATGAACCCAGATAACTGCAACTTTTTTCACAGGTTGCGGCTGGGTACACTTTGAGGGATTAGACAACCAACCAGCACATACCTCAGCAAGCAATGAAACCCTGGACTTGGTTATCTTTCCACTGAATAGACAAAAACGCTTGGATTATCCGGAACAACAATATACTACGTAAACTTAGTGTATTGCCATTAATCCTGGCCACACGGTGTTCACAAATGTAGTCAGACATGCACCCAATCCTGCGGTCCCTATTAGTTGGCTCAGGCGAAGGGAAGTACAAATGAAGGGACAATGAAATTAGCATTTTGATGACGCAGAAGCGCAAAAACATCTACTGAACATTCGCCTTCTCTGCAAGAATGGTTAACAAACCAGTTTCATAGGGCGAGCCAACCAATAGCATGTTGCTGTTATTTAATAAAGATGTGTTGTTATTTTATACAGATGTCATCAAGAAAGAATTTCCGCGTTTTCTCGATACAGGCCGCGCATCTTTCCGGTCGATCATCAACTTCTTCGTTCGGTTCGGTGGAGCAAAAGTTCCGAATGGCGATTTTCCTAAATCTTCTCTCAAATTTCCACTGTGGGTGGATTATGGATTGTTTTTCCTGGGTAAAAATCCCGTTGGGAACTTGAAGTTCGGGGCGTAACGCATTATTGTCAACACATGGCCCTGGATTTTCATACCATATATCAAGTACGAAAGTTTCTTCGTACTCACGTACATTGCAAACAACTTTCATTTGTACTGCTTTCAGCAATACTACTTTCATTGGACATGTGACCAGTTTTCACAATGATTATGACTGTCAAGGTGATAGTTTAAAGGACATTTACAGGTTCAAAACATCAATAAACGAATAAGATATTATGGCCAAATGCTACATAAAAAATCAGACTATTTCTGATCCTGTGCGTAGATAAATTATGTGAATTTTTGTCTGATAAATTCTCGGTCTGTTATCAAACTATCAGCATCGGGGTCCGAATTTTAATTCAGAATTGAGACAGCGCAATGTAATTTACGTGCTGGGAGAACCATGTTAGTTTACATTAGAGAATTATTTTTACTCAAATTTCGCGTAAAATCACTAATGCAGCTGTTCTGCGTGTTTGTCGAGCGAGGGCGTTAGATTTTGCCCTCACAACAGTTTCCGTTGTTTTCGATTTTTCATTCTTGTCCAATTCATTTTGCTTCTGCGCTTTGCAAGGTGCAGGATA